AAATTTTTCTGAAATTTTAAATTTTCGCACCCACCATCCTCCGTAATTACACCCGTGATAAAGCAATATAAGTCGCAATAATTGAGGATAATTAAGCTTTAAACAAAAAAAGAAGTATCAAAAATCAGATTCACTAAATTTACACATTACAGCAAAAAATTGGAAATACGTTCATTCCAAAGGAAAACCTTTTAGAGCACAAAAAATATTATGTGATAACTAAGTCGACAAAACATAAACAGACAAACAGAAATCCGACAAAAGTTGTGAAACGGAAAATTTTTAGTTTTAAAAGAAGTTTGTTCCCGGTCAGATTTTTAGTAAAACATAATTTTGTTAATATAACAAGGCGGTTAAAGAAAACATTCTGTATGATGTAGGCTCACAAATTATTACAAATGACCAATTTAAACTAACTGAATCCAAGCTGGCTTCTAAGCAATATAAAAATTAGTTAAGTAAAAAGACCAGACTAATTTCGTAGTTGTACAAAAACAGAGTGACAAAATCTGCAATTTCTTCTCAATCTTTTTTCTATCCCTTCTTTCTCGGGTTGCTCCGATTTTTTTCAGGAGTCATTTACAAAAGTCTTTGCGAGCATTTTTTACTTTTCTACTTACAAGGTTGCGAGAGCTTTTGAAGGATGTGAAAGTTTTTCTCATTTTTGTTCTCTTGCACTCACTAGACAGAGTATGTTTTTTAATATCAGTTGCTCTAAGTTTTTAGACCACCAAGGTTTCGAACAGTTTTTTTTGTGGCGAAAAAAAAAAACATTTTTTTTTGTGGTTTTGTAGAAGCATGTTTACTTAAAATTGTTACGAAATGTCGGCAAGAACATGAAAAAATTCGCGTCCCAAATTCGTCTTGCATGAAGCTAGTAAAAAATATCCAAAATTGTTTAGTAAAACGCTATGTCATTGTATTTTTTTTGATAACTGGAACCAAGATTTGAATTATATGTTACAAGCAAAAGATCTGTGTCAAATTTTGAAAACGATGTTTCACAGTGAGTAATTTGATTATGAGACAAAATACGATTATCAATAAATGTTACCTTAAAAAAGGCGAGTGCAAAATGAAAATTCTTCTAAAACTGAATATCCAGTTTTACCCAAAGCATTAGTATCAGCAGAAAATTTTTGCCGTACCAGTCGTAGTCATTACATCTAACCCACGAAATGTGTCTGAGAATCTAAGAAATATGAATTGATTAGAAGCCAAGTTATCAAATGTTTTCAACCAAAAAAAAAATCACTCCGTGAGATTTTGAGATCTCTAATACGATTTAAAGATAATTCCTGAACTGTTTTCTTAAAACTTTTTTTAGATTTTTTAGTTATTATTTATTTTGGCGAAAAGAATTTTAAAATAGGAGCACTTGCCCCATTTTGAAAAAAAAATATTGACAAAAATTCTTTGAGATCACACGGTTATACTTAATAAAAAACGCTTGTTTGAAAACAATTTTAATGCACTCTTAAAATTTGCTTTCGTTTTAGTGTTTTTTTTTCGAGAGCATTACCGTGAGATCTCAAATGACCTTTAATTTACTTTCAACGAGAAGCAAGCGTTTGTATTTGTTATAGCCTCTTTTGTCGAATTACAGACTAGTTGAAAACGCATCTAACAAGTTAGTCATCAAATTGGTTCAGGATAGATCTCTAATTTGCATTAAAATTATCAAAATCTCTCGGAGTAAATTTTTTTTGGGTTAAAACTTTTGATAGCGTGGTTCTTGACTCATGGCTTAACAAATGAGTTCTGCGATGTCCTTTATTGCTCCTTAATGGATCCATAAATGGATCCAAATACTGTTTCCGAAGAAAGATTCAGCGAAACCAAATACTGGTTTGTGTTCAGACGCAGCTAAGAAGTTGGGCATCAAGTCACCTCTATCTCGATGAATCTAAGCACTAAAGAGAAATCCGAGTAAGTGAAACAGATCATCCGACAGGCCACCATAGATCTGAGTCATCAACAGAATCATAAATAACAGTGAAAATCATTCGCGTTCCCAATCTTCTCAGTCATTTGAAGCAAGAAACAGTCATATTTTATCAAACTTGTATAGTTATAAAATTTTTGACTTTGAACGAATTTTATATTAATGATGACCTGATACACGTCGATATAAACAATAAACGTACAAAAAAGAATTTTCGTAAGATTCAAACATCTCTCACAAAAATTGCAAACATCTCAAAAAAATTAAACAGAAACAGGCCATTAAGAATAACATAGACAAATTTTTAAAAATAAGCAGACACTTGAATTTTCAAATATTGCAAAATTGAAGTCGGGTATTGGAAAAAAACTTGAAACCAATTTTCAAAAAATACAAAAATGAAACAAACAAACTCATATATATCTACAGGAATTAAGCAGCAAATTTTGCTGCGCTACTATAATTCATTTTTTGCTAATAATGGCTTTGGTGTTGTTCAAAACTCATTTAATCAACAGGAATGTCTAGCGATTTAGAAGTTTTCCAGCATTCGGTCCCTCCATAATGAGAATATCTTGATAATTTTCCACCTGCTTCATTTTTAATTACCCGGCAGCAATAAAAGCGCTTTCATAATGCGCATAAAATATATGAGATCTAGGAGAACAGGAATCCGGACTTCAAGCTGATTAACTTCAAGCCAAAAAGCTCAGTTCGAAAAACTCCAGGCGGAAATGCATGAAAACTTTTCACATATGAAAAGCAATGAAAAGCAATTATAGTTCATTTTTGAAAAACAAAAAAATAACTAGTTAAGCTGCCGTATTTTGTAGCTGTTGTTGTAAGAATTGAGGCTAGTTATCAACATTTTTTTACTGAATCAAATCATATAAGAGCTCAGTTCAAGCTTCTATACTCACTAATTCAAGTTATTATGACTGAGATTTTCTTTCAAACCAACGGCTATCATATTTAATCATAGGCCCAATTTTTTTCAGCTTTGGCCCAATCAAAACACTCCTGACTGAGGGTGTCAAAATCTCTACTCAGATATTGCAAACCAGTGTTTTTCGTAAATCTTTCAAGACTTCGAAATAAAAATAGGACGAAATCTCAATATTGGACAGACTAATTAGTCGGAGAAACTTTCTGGTTAAAATTGTTCGCGTACCAGGCAGATGCTGTCCAGAAATAGAACGTGATTTCTGTGAAATAAACAAGCTCTTAGACTTAGGTACTTTTTTGTCTAATTTTGCAAGTAAAATCCTTCTCGCTCGCTGTACTTGCTCGAAATAAGACTAATACACAAAAATTTCTCGACAATGGACAGATTTTTTTGCATATTTTTGAAATGTTGTTCGAATCGCGACTAAGGAGGATTTAATACGATTCATCAGCAATCCATTCCATCGATTATTTGGGGTACTTGATTTTGCGTTGAAACAAAAAAAAACAACGGAATACAAAGTTCCTCACCATTATCAAACGTTGGATCAATTAGACGAAATCATAGAAATAACTTGAAATGATTAACTTCAATCATGCTAAATGATTGCTAAATTGGCATACAAACGAAAGTTTGACAATTTATTTTTTTCATAACATTTACCCAATTTGAAAATAAAAATCCGAATGACCTGTACCTTTTGGTCCAATCTACAATAAGTGCACAAAGTATTAGATAATTAGAACCTAAATGACGTCATTCGATTTGACCTTAAATGACCGCGTTTTTTAAATGTTTCTTATTTGAAGTGCATTACCTTCGATATTTCAAGCCAGGCGGCTTGATGAAAAGTCGTATAAAAAAGACTTTGAATTTAGTTATAGCCAGGATACAGTTATTACAAAAGGGTTGAGATATCAGACAATAAGCAAAGTAGACGGAGGTAATTAAAAGAAAAAAGGACGATTTACCAAAAGTGCAATTGTGAGCAAATAAAAAAAAGTGAGAGATTAAAATTGTTTGCGGTCAAATTGTGTGAGAAAAATAAAATTGTTTTCAGACAACAGTTAATTTTCGGTGGCCAAAAATTGTACAAGTCAATCATGCACAATTTATTCAATTCAAAACTCTCCTGTAATACTCGGATTTGACATTTTATGTTCATTTAAACTAATTTGTTTGATAGGTATTGAGATTTCCAGTTCTTTTTGTGTTCGTGAAACTTCACCCATAAGAAAAAAGAAAAAATTTTAATGGCCCTTTCCTTTTCATAGCTTTTTCGTCTAAAATGCCAGATCTGTACAAAAAACATTTCGTCTAATTTCGTTTTTGTAGCATCCGTCTAATTTGCTTATTGTCTAATTTTCTTGGCACCATTAAAAATCACTCGCACTGAACTTTCATATTGGTTTATTAGGCGTTAATCCTTTGTTCTGATCTTGGATAATGGGTAGGAGCTTTGCACTCAGGTGAAATTTACTTTTTTTTTCTGTTTTCCACGCAAAATCAGATGCCACAAATAATCATCCGAAAGGGCCGAGTGATAGATTTTATTAAAACCCTTCTAGTCTGCTTTTTAACTACATAAAAAAAAACAATTTTCAAAACCTCTTACTAATCTGCATGTATCAAATACAGGTACATTCATTTTGAAAAAATGTCCTTTTTTTGGCAATGACAAAAATGGTCGGAACATATTCTGCTACATATAGAGCGAATGACCCTTCATATTTTTCAAAGTGTTACTTTTCAGACAACCTTGCAAGAATTTATTTTAATTTCTACTCCTTATACTCGTTTATAATCTGAGAACTAATTGTATGACTTTCTACACCCTAAAAGTCCTATTAGTCCAATAAGAGTCTCAATGATTAATAGTTTTGTCGCCTGCCTGTAAAAACGAACACTTTTTTACACTTCAATTTGTTGAAATACGAGTAGACCAATAAACACTATATAATTATTATTTGATAGATCACAATTACCTGAAAACGAAATGAGTTACTACAACCCGTAAATTCAACTTCATCAGAGAAGCAAAAAGATTCAGTTATTCAAGGGCTTTTTATAAGACAAATAGTGAGTTGTACAAAACAGCTAATTAATTACTTGGCATTATTACACTCAATTTGATCGACATCTAAAATCAATATGTTTATATCAGCATAAAAATATTCACCTGAACTCAGAAACTGCTAGCAGCAACATACCACCAATTAAGTCAGCTAATAAATGGTTCGCAATAATAAACACACTTTATTTGATTAAGGTATTAATGAAAGGGTTAAAACTTTAAGAAAAGGACACGAAAGCTACTATGACAAACTACTAGCAACAAAATGAGGAGAATAAAAGAAACGAAAACTATCAAAATGTCAAAAAGTTACGATGCAAGACTTGAGTTTCTCAACTGCTAAAGAAAGTCTTTTTTTTCAGAAACCATGTCCAACTACCAGCAACAGACTTTTTACATCTTTCCTTGGGATCCCTTCTTCCCTATGAGCGATTTGTGAATGTGAGGAATGACACCTCCGCCCGCGATGGTCGCCTTAATGAGCGAATCCAGTTGTTCGTCTCCGCGAATGGCCAGCTGCAGATGTCTGGGTGTAATACGTTTCACTCGCAGATCTTTGCTAGCGTTTCCTGCCAGTTCCAAAACCTCCGCTGTCAGATATTCCAGGATAGCAGCGCTGAACACAAACTCAAAATAACTCAATTCGTTCGATAATGCTCATTAATTCAATTGTACTCAGTATGTTAAAGTCATCCCCTATTTGAAATTTTCAAAAACAAATTATCTGGACAACATCCAACAATCGTTATATTAGCCAAAAACAAATCCACATAAAAACAAGGATAGTCAATTGCTGTAAAGTAGCATGAAGTTCTGATCACATTTATAAAAAAAAAAAACTTTCTTTTTTATAAATTTATATAAATTTCTTTTTTTTATGAATTGGTAGTTTTTGTGCGTGAGGCTGTTATTCTTCGAGGTGCGATAACAGAACTACACGTGCACTTACAAAGTTCGTAAATTGAAATAATCGTTATTTGTCTTAAAAAATGACGAAAACAGATTTTTTTAAAAAAATTTTTGAACAAATTTAATAGAAAACCTTGATGGTCGGAACATAAATGGTCGGAACATATTCTGCTACATATAGAGCGAATGACCCTTCATATTTTTCAAAGTGTTACTTTTCAGACAACCTTGCAAGAATTTATTTTAATTTCTACTCCTTATACTCGTTTATAATCTGAGAACTAATTGTATGACTTTCTACACCCTAAAAGTCCTATTAGTCCAATAAGAGTCTCAATGATTAATAGTTTTGTCGCCTGCCTGTAAAAACGAACACTTTTTTACACTTCAATTTGTTGAAATACGAGTAGACCAATAAACACTATATAATTATTATTTGATAGATCACAATTACCTGAAAACGAAATGAGTTACTACAACCCGTAAATTCAACTTCATCAGAGAAGCAAAAAGGTTCAGTTATTCAAGGGCTTTTTATAAGACAAATAGTGAGTTGTACAAAACAGCTAATTAATTACTTGGCATTATTACACTCAATTTGATCGACATTATAAATTTATAATAAATTTATATAAATTTCTTTTTTTTATGAATTGGTAGTTTTTGTGCGTGAGGCTGTTATTCTTCGAGGTGCGATAACAGAACTACACGTGCACTTACAAAGTTCGTAAATTGAAATAATCGTTATTTGTCTTAAAAAATGACGAAAACAGATTTTTTTTTAAAAAAATTTTGAACAAATTTAATAGAAAACCTTGATGGCTGCCAAGAAGGCACAAAAAGAACCTTCCAAAACTAGTTTTCATTATAGTAAAATTAATTTTTTTTAGCATAAATACCTATAAAAAGTGTAAGCATTCATAAAAAGAACGTTACTCGATTGCTTGAAATTCAACTTAAATTATAAACTAGTTTTTCTCGACACTGGGCAACTTTTTGAAAATAAAAAAAACGCTGGAGCCACGACCGAAGGTGTTTTAATTTGATATACCACTCAACCCATTCTGATTGTTTGTGGTACTTGATTTTGCGTTGTTTTGCTGTGACCGGCACGGGAGATAAAACCATTCGTCGAAACCTATCAATCAATAGGGTAATTGAGCATAAATGATGGATTCGGAAGGCCTTTTATGTTCATAAACTCAATAATTCAATCATAAATTTCGACAATAACCATATGTGACTAATTCGCCTCGCGTTTCAAGAGTCTAAGCAAAGCTGGTTTTTACAGATTCTTTGAGTTTTCACGGCTGCTGTAGCAGTTAAAGCTTTCGTAGCACGATTCATTTTCTTCAGATTTTCAATCAAAAAATTGAAAAATGTCTTGCAGGGCAAGTTTCAGTCTTTCATTCTTCATTATTATCTTTATTTTTCATTCTTCCACGATCTTGCTGCTTTATGTTTTTTCAAACTTAGTATTTTTTTCTCCAATATTTTCTTTTATGTTTTCAGATTTATATATTTTTCCTTTTCATTGAAGATCTCAAGTTTCGTACTTCATTTGATCAAACGGGCAGTGCTCTGTTACCCAATTGGGTTTGTTAACTGTCCCCTCATTGTTTCTGGTGCTTCGTGTTTACATTCTCGTTTTATGCATATTTACCATAAACAATGAGAAATAAATTCTTTCTTTCTTTCTTTCTTTATCCTTGATACATTTATTACAAGTACAAGTGATTATTAAAACTATACTGATTACGTATTTTAATAAGTTAAATATGTGGTACATCTCTTGGTTAGTGATGACATGAACAACTTTAGTTTAATCGGTCTGACACACTATATTCGTGTAATTTTTCAGGTCCTTTTCAGAGAAGGTTTTTGAAGTCATTACTGAATAAAATACATATTTTGCTCTCATTTTGGTTTGAATTGAAAACATCTGCAAAATCAAATATTCGACGTTCACTTAGATTTAAGTCATGAGGTTCTGTGTCGTATTCTTTTTGAAGTCTATGTAAATGAATTGCAACAATTTAAGTTTCACGTGAGCGCTAATTTCATTCATCTCGTCCATGAACTTCAACATCTGAAGTGTTGTAGATCTTCAGCACAGAAGTCAAATAAATAACATGAATTTGAGAAAATCAGCGCCAAAAACTTAAAAAACAAACTGATTAGAGCGTTTGAGAGCGAGGTGGGAAGGCTGTTTGGATTGTAGTTCATGACAGACTGTTTGTTTTTACAATTTAATAGAATGATTTGTTTCAAAGTACCGATAGTCTAGGGACTAGGATTAAATATTTGTTTACTCGAAGTTCTTGTTTCACTTGGCGCATTTGATGATTAATTTGCTTCCTACTTTGATATAGCTACTATAATAGTTGCATGATAGAAAGTGTACTATAATAGTTGCATGATAGATTCTTCTTCATTGGAATTCGCTGGATTTTTGACGTCTGATGTTAAGTTCATGTTGAGAAACTGGGATCTCTTTGCAGTCGTGATTACGTTTATTCTTCCGCCTTTGTCCTTAGTTCAAGAATATCCTATTACTGCGAGTCCTTCGATCTGGCATTGGACGGGGTGTTCGGAGAAACCAGTTTTGAACCAATTTTGGCTTTTGTTTGAGTATGTGGGATAAATTTTTTAGTAATCCAAGTTTTAATCAACAATCTTAGAGGTCTTCTGCAACTGAACTCAATTGACCAAGTTTCTCATTTTTCTTGATTATTTTTTCAGTTTTCTTTTATGTTTTCAGTTTGCTTGGGGTATTTTTAACTACTTGACTGCTTTTACCGTTGGAAAAGCAATTAAGGCATATCAGCAGAGCATTTTCATCAGGTTAAATGATCCCTTTGAGTACAACTGTTCTGACACCAGTGCAAAGAATCAATTTCAAGGTTCATAGAGCAGTTGCGGGTCTTTTTTCATTTTGCTTTTTCTCAATATTTTCATCCCTTTCATCCTACGGCTTATCTTATTATCTACAGCCTTTTAAACGATCCAAGAAGTAGCCGCCTGAAATCTTAATTTTTAGAGCATTCTAAGACTTCTAAAAAATGTTATCGCGACCCGTGTAAGAGTTCATCGACTCTTAAATAGCAACGGAACAAAACTTATGAAGAGGAAACAAAGCCAAAAATATTTAGGCAGACACAAGTTGAGTCGGAAAAAAAATTATGCAGAGGCGAAGCAGAGCTTTTCACCACTTGCGATAAAACACAAAAAAAAACAGAAGAAAAAAGTGTTGAAAACTAGGTGAACTGAAATTTTCGTATGCCTCGGTAAAAAATGTAATGGGTCAGCTAAAGCAGGAGGTATCTGTTTGACATTTTTTGCATTTTCCGACTTCTTATACTGAAACGGGATGAAATGGGTAAAGTCAAATATTGGACTTTGCTCAAATCCTTAGTTATTTCTCTATTGAAATAATTGAGAAGTGTACATTTTAGAGAAATTGGAATCTTCTCAGAGACATTCCACAAAAAATGAGGAGTCAAAAAACGAGGATAAATTCTTTAAAAAAACTAAGAGCCGCCCCTTCTGAAGAATAAATTTTTGCAACTGACTCGTTCGACTGAAACCTTCTCGGATTTGCGAGGGTAGTTTACAAGAAAAGTCAAAAGTTTCATAAAAAGCTGTTAAAAATTTGACTTCCGAACCCCATATTCACACCACTTGAGACACACCACATAAAACTAGTATTGCAAGCTGCAAGCTATCACACAGGAAAGGAAAGGCCAAAAATAAAATTAAAAAGAAAAAAAAACAACCAACTAGAAAACTTTGAATCATTGCCTGAAATTGATTAATTTAACCGATATTAATTTTCACTCATTGGATATGCTGTCGTGGTATCGCGGGTGTTTTTTTCAAGAACACATTTTTGTAAATCTAATTTCCGTTGTCGTTTTGGCCGTAACGAGGAAACTCAAATAAACACTGCGGTCACTTAATTTCACGGAAAAATTGTTGTAGCAACTTCCAAAATGTACCTTAGACGTCACAAAATAACCAGACCGGAAATCAATTCTGCGGATAAAAGTCAAGCTACTGGTTGATAACGACCAGATTATAATAGTAGAGTGGATCTGTGAAATGCAGCTGATATTACAAACACCATGAACGCTGGCTTTGATGACAGAATCCGAAAGTGGGTAGGACGGATGGGTTTCAATTTCTACCACGTCGTTTTTTTGGTTTACAAAGTGTACAAACGAATCGTCTTGCCAAGAACTCACAATTTGAGGCAAGGAATCGCATTCAAGCTTGACGCTATCTTTGTTAGTTTGTCTGACAACGTTGTTGATTTTGTCCCAATAAACAAACTCAGCAACATCGCCTGTGCTTATGAATGCAAAAAATAAAGGAATTTGATGAAATTCAAGGTTCGATTTCATACTTCTGAAGCAGTTTAAGTGTACGTCAAACAGCCGCAAAACTTTGTTAATTTTGATTAGAATAATTGGACTTGAATTTAGTTGCACGAGAAAAAATACTTGAAAACAGTAAATCGATGCATCGTTTTCAAAGGTCGCCAATTCATTTTTCGACATCGAGACATCATCTTTGTGCTCTTTGAACTTGCATTTGTAGACTGTAACATTATGACTTTCATATTCTACGCTATACAAAGAGCGACAATTTTTGGAGTACACGAAAGAATTTTCACTTACAGACACGACATTTGGCAATTTAATTTTGCTGAAAAAATGGTCAGAAAATTTTTCGACCAACGGGGTCATCTGTTTAGACACGGACAAATCTATACCGTTAAAACGACGTAACCCAAGCCAATTCTTTAATTTCTATCTCTGAAACTTGATTTTCTTTATCCCTAAACTGCTCTACCATAATTCTATCTGAGCAACATAACAACTCTTGAAGATCGTTTTGGCATTGTAACAACAGTTCGTAATTTTTGGTCAATTCCTCCTCCAATTTTACTATTTTCTCGTGTTCTGATTTGATGCTATCCAAGATTTTTTGTTTTAGAGCATCCATTGATGATGATATATCTAGCACCAATTTATCATAACTTTTAGTGCGTATTTCCTTGTTTTCATTTAGCTTTTCCCGAGTAACGCGAACTGATACCTCAAAGGAACTCAAATTTGCGATCAAATCGAATATTTTTGGTCTCAAATAGAAGCTCGATCTTTGATTGACGTTATGTTATGGTTAGCATGTTTCAAAACACAGCTTACACACAAAATTTCCTCGCAATTTGCGCAAAACATTGAACACAAGTTTTTGTGAGTTTTGCAAATCGTCGGGGTCATTGATTTATTGTCCAAAATTTCATGACTTTTTCTCAAATCAGGCATAATACAACCTCCACAAAAAATGTGACAGCGTTGAGACCTTCCAATTGATTCATACAAGTCGCGCATTTGAAGAGTCGTTCTTTCTCGAAAACTTCGAAGCATGAATTTCTGTAGGTTCAACCGACATCGTAAAACTATGAATGTTCAGTATCCGTTAATTACTCAGTTTGAGTTAATTTCGATAGATAACTTTGCAAGCAAGCTTTTGAACGATTAAAGTTTGAATTTGTTAAGTCAATTCTGATTCCATGCACTTTGCATTCGCATTAATTTCACAACAAATGCAATTACTCGAGCCATAAATCTTTCAAGTTCATTTCAACTGGCTAATTTATTTAAGGGGAGAGATTTCATATTTGAATCATGTCAAGTGATTTTTTTCTATAACTTGAGCCAGTTCACAAAAAAATAAATTTTCGAAGTGAAGTTGGTCAAATATTTGGCATTATTTTTTGCTCTTCAATGAGGCTATCTTAATGGCGAAACTTGATAAATACTTAGACGCCTAGACAAAAAAATTATCGCGTGATTTTGAGAATTGTAACTAGTTTTCTAAGAATTTTGCGTACAGTAATTTTTGTGCAGTGAATTTTGCGTACAGTAACAACTCTAACCTCTCAAAACTAGACAGTTTGAAATTCGATTAAAATTTACCGGTCTAAGAAACAAATATGTGGTCACTAAACCACCGGTTCGGAAAATTTTTAATAAGAGTAGAATTTTTGTTTAAATGACGAAAAAACTGAAACAAACTTGTACAATGTTTTAATTTTAACGAAAACGTTTTCAGTCGTGACAGTTTGAATCCTCAGTATACTGTTTGATAGGCGGCTGCGACTCCTCTGCGGGATTTGCGTGGCTGAGAATTTCTTTTTCTGTTTTAATGTCAATTGAAGTTAGAAGTCTCATTAAAAATGCGGTTAAATTATGTCTCGTCAGGTTTCAGCTTCACCGCCACCTCTTTTCATCAGAGTTAGAATCCTAACAAACTTTTTCTCAACTCCATTTTAAAAATCAATTTTTTTTGAAAAATTATCCATAAAGATTCTCTGTAAATTAGGTTTTCCAATCTTATCTTTCAACAAAGAAATTTGGCCGCATTCTTAAGTTCTGATTATTTTTGTACATATATTTTTTGCGAATGACACAGCGTCGTTTTGCTTTAATAAAAAGTAAGCAGGGTAAAAATTATATAGAAAAGTTGAATGTAGAAAAAATTGTGCAAAAACATTAAAACAACTTTTTACAAAAAAAAATCTGGTAAACATTTCTGAGCAGAAAAGAAAATAACAAGGAATATTTTTAGGAGAAAACAAAAACGAAAAAATTGGAAACTTCGTTTTTTGCTGTCGTGATGGACAATCTAATGACTTTTTTTCTGTATGTTATTGCTATTTGCAAACAGTTAAGATTGAATCAGAGATTTCAAGCCCTTTACTTTTAATGCTTCATTAGCATCTGGCGGTAAATCATAAACTGCCTTGCAAAGAATTGTTTCAACGCAAAAACTACTAATAAGAGACAATTTTTGAAAAAAAATTGAACACGTGAGCCTGTTTTTTGAAAACTACAAAAAGCTGTTTTCGAAAACTTTCTCAAAAATAATTCGCAGATACTATTAAATCAATGATTAAGAAGAGCTCACTGCGTTTTTAGACGTTGACCAGTTTTCAAAAACGGCGATGTACGAGAACTCGCAATTCAGATTTTCTTCATTTGCTATGGTAAATGGATTTTTCAATCGAAAGTTAAAAAACTTTCTATCATTTATTCTCAAATAAACTGCTACTTAACAATTTCAGACAGATAATGAGGAAAAAAATTAATAACCACCGATATTGTAATTAAAACCATTTCTCCAATTTTTTTTCCAATTTAGATACAATACCTTTTACTGAAGTGTTGAGCCATCGACTTTTGGTGTTTCTTGGGTTTTTGAGGGTCTAGCACTATTCTTGTGGGATTAATATTCGGCGTACTTTTTCTCACTAAAGGTCTGAATTGAATTCAGTTCAATCAACTGCTAGTTTTATTCAGAAGCAAAGCAGGGCTGAGTCGGAAAAAAATCAAAAGTGGCCAAAAAAGAAGGACCAAAAACTCCATGTGATTGTTTTGATCTACCTTGAACAGGTTTCAATTTCTTAAAAAAAGAGCCAATTAGGGCAATTAAAAGTTAATACAGCCTCGAAGTAAAACTTGCAAACACCTGTCGAATAAAAAAATATAAAAAAAACTGTCCCCCATAAAAAATTTTGAGAAACAAATAGAAAAAAAAATAAGATAAATATAAACAAAAAGTTTGAAAAGATATTTGGGGGAAAATTGCCTCGGTTGCAACACCCTTTAGAATAGCAAAAGAAACCAATGCAAGTTGAGGTCACTTTCACATTCAATTTTCGAAAAAGTAGCAAGCTAATCAAACTATTCATTTTTTTTTTCAAAATTCAGTCGCAAACAAAAAACAAGCAAGACTATCAAACAAAAAAAACATTAAAGTAAAATGAGTTCACGAAACTGTTTTATCAAAGCTTGACAAACACTTCAGCAAGATTAATAATGAGTGTGACTCATTTTTATCTTGCTTTAAAATTTCTTCAACAGTATTCAAAGTTTTTTGAAGTAATCTGCCCCTAAAAAGCTTCGCTCTCAGAGGATTAGACACCGAAATTTAGATTCGAAGTCATAGTAAACAACATTCATTGTCCTTAAAACTAATCAAAGGGACTCCCACAAATCCTCTGCTACAGCCAGTACTTTTTAGAGGTTTTAAATTTCGAAATCATCAACTCCGTTCACAAAAACTTAACACAGGCGAAGCAGAGCTTTGCAAACTTGTGGCACCGCATAAACATAGCATTGCAAGGTACCAAGGAGAAAAAAAAATTGTACAAACTTTTTAGAAAAATTTGGTCTGAAAAGATGAAATATTTGAGGAAAAGCACATCCAAATACACATTTGCCGGTTTTATATAAATCTCTAAAAAATCGAGCGGCAACTAAGCCAAAAAACGGTGGCTAAACTCCTGTTGAGCCAAAAACGAAATTTTTCTGAAATTTTAAATTTTCGCACCCACCATCCTCCGTAATTACACCCGTGATAAAGCAATATAAGTCGCAATAATTGGGGATAATTAAGCTTTAAACAAAAAAGGAGGTATCAAAAATCAGATTCACTAAATTTACACATTACAGTAAAAAATTGGAATTAGATTCATTCCAAAGGAAAACCTTTTAGAGCACAAAAAATTTTATGTGATAACTAAGTCGACAAAACATAAACAGACAAACAAAAATCCAACAAAAGTTTTGAAACGGAAAATTTTTAGTTTTAAAAGAAGTTTGTTCCCGGTCAGATTTTTAGTAAAACATAATTTTGTTAATATAACAAGGCGGTTAAAGAAAACATTCTGTATGATGTAGGTTCACAAATTATTACAAATCACCAATTAAAACTAACTGAATCTAAGCTGGCTACTAAGCAATATAAAAATTAGTTAAGTAAAAGGACCAGACTAATTTCGTAGTTGTACAAAAACAGAGTGAAAAATCAGCAATTTCTTCTCAATCTTTTTTCTATCCCTTCTTTCTCGGGTTGCTCCGATTTTTTTCAGGAGTCATTTACAAAAGTCTTTGCGAGCATTTTTTACTTTTCTACTTACAAGGTTGCGAGAGCTTTTGAAGGATGTGAAAGTTTTTCTCATTTTTGTTCTCTTGCACTCACTAGACAGAGTATGTTTTTTAATATCAGTTGCTCTAAGTTTTTAGACCACCAAGGTTTCGAATAGTTTTTTTTGTGGCGAAAAAAAAACATTTTTTTCGTGGTTTTGTAGAAGCATGTTTATTTAAAATTGTTACGAAATGTCGGCAAGAACATGAAAAAATTCGCGTCCCAAATTCGTCTTGAATGAACCTAGTAAAAAATATCCAAAATCGTTTAGTAAAACAGTATGTCATTGTATTTTTTTTGATAACTGGAACCAAGATTTGAATTATATGTTACAAGCAAAAGATCTGTGTCAAATTTTGAAAACGATGTTTCACAGTGAGTAATTTGATTATGAGACAAAATACGATTATCAATAAATGTTACCTTAAAAAAGGCGAGTGCAAAATGAAAATTCTTCTAAAACTGAATATCCAGTTTTACCCAAAGCATTAGTATCAGCAGAAAATTTTTGCCGTACCAGTCGTAGTCATTACATCTAACCCACGAAGTGTGTCTGAGAATCTAAGAAATATGAATTGATTAGAAGCCAAGTTATCAAATGTTCTCAACCAAAAAAATATCACTCGGTGAGATCTTGAGATCTCTAATACGATTTAGAGATAATTCCTGAACTGTTTTGTTAAAATACTTTTAGATTTTTTTTAGTTATTATTTATTTTGACCAAAAGAATTTTAAAATAGGAGCACTTGCCCCATTTTGAAAAAAATATTGACAAAAATTCTTTGAGATCACACGGTTATACTTAAGAAAAAACGCTTGTTTGAAAACAATTTTAATGCACTCTTAAAATTTGCTTTTGTTTTAGTGTTTTTTTTCGAGAGCATTACCGTGAGATCTCAAATGACCTTTAATTTACTTTCAACGAGAAGCAAGCGTCTGTATTTGTTATAGCCTCTTTTGTCGAATTACAGACTAGTTGAAAACGCATCTAACAAGTTAGTCATCAAATTGGTTCAGGATAGATCTCTAATTTGCATTAAAATTATCAAAATCTCTCGGAGTAAATTTTTTTTGGGTTAAAACTTTTGATAGCGTGGTTCTTGACTCATGGCTTAACAAATGAATTTATTCATCAATTATTCGTCGTTTGCATTTGAAAATCTTGCAATTGAACTTATTTATCTGTTAAATATTCCAGCAAGTAACTTGATACACATTTCCCACAGAAGTCCAGAAACAAACGACCACTCGGAACACAAGAAACTGCGTGAAATTTTCATTGAGGAGGGATTCAACAACGGTGTACCTTTAATTGCGACTACCAACAGTTCTGCGATGTCCGTTTATATTGCGACTACCAACAATTCTGCGATGTCCTTTATTGCTCCTTATTGGATCCATAAATGGATCCAAATACTGTTTCCGAAGAAAGATTCAGCGAAACCAAATACTGGTTTGTGTTCAGACGCAGCTAAGAAGTTGGGCATCAAGGTCACCTCTATCTCGTTGAATCTAAGCACTAAAGAGGAATCCGAGCAAGTGAAAGAGATCATCCGACAAGCCACCATAGATCTGAGTCATCAACAGAATCATAAATAACAGTGAAAATCATTCGCGTTCCCACAGTCATTTGAAGCAAGAAACAGTCATATTTTATCAAACTTGTAAAGTTATAAAATTTTTGACTATGAACGAATTTTATATTAATGATGACCTGATACACGTCGATATAAACAATAAACGTACCGAAAAGAATTTTCGTAAGATTCAAAAATCTCTCACAAAAATTGCAAACATCTCGAAAAAACTAAACAGAAACAGGCCATTAAGAATAACATAGACCAATTTAAAAAAATAAGCAGACACATGAATTTTCAAATATTGCGAAATCGAAGTCGGGTATTGGAAAAAACCTGAAACCAATTTTTTAAAAGTACAAAAATGAAACAAACAAACTCATATATATCTACACGAATTATGCAGCAAATTTTGCTGCGCTGCTATAATTCATTTTCTGTTAATAATGGCGTTGGTTTTGTACAAAATTCATTTAATCAACAGGAATGTCTAGCGATTATGATGGTTTAGAAGTTTTCCAGCATTCGGTCACTCCATCATGAGAATACCTTGATACTTTTGCACCTGCTTCATTTTTAATAACCCGGCAGCAATAAAAGCGCTTTCATAATGCGCATAAAATACATGAGATCTAGGAGAACAGGAATATGGACTTCAAGCCGATTAACTTCAAGCCGAAAAAGTTCAGTTCGAAAAATTTCAGGCGGAAATGCATGAAACCTTTTCACATTTGAGAAGCAATGAATAGCAATTATAATTCATTTTTTGAAAAATAAAAAAGAACTAGTTAAGCTGCCGTATTTTGTAGCTGTTGTTGTAAGAATTGAGGCTAATTATCACACATTTTTTTACTGAATCAAATCATATAAGAGCTCGGTTCAAGCTTCTATACTCACTAATTCAAGTTATTATGACTGAGATTTTCTTTCAAACTAACGGCTATCATACTTAATCATAGACCCGATTTTTTTCAGCTTTGACCCAATCAAAACATTCCTGACTGAGGGCGTCAAAGTCTCTACTCAGATATTGCAAACCAGTGTTTTTCGTAGATCTGTCAAGACTTCGCAATAAAAACCGGACGGAATCTCAATATTGGACAGACTAATTAGTCGGAGAAACTTTCTGGTTAAAATTGTTTCGCGTACCAGGCAGATGCTGTCCAGAACGTGATTTCTGTGAAATAAACAAGCTCTTGGACTTAGGTACTTTTTTTTGTCTAATTTTGAGCAAGTAAAATACTTGCTCGAAATTAGACTAAAACTCAAAAATTTCTAACCTTTTTTTCTCGACACTGGTCAGATTTTTTTGCATATTTTTAAAATGTTGTTCGAATCACGACTAAGGAGGCTTTAATACGATTCATCACGCAATCCATTCCATCGATTATTTGGGGTACTTGATTTTGCGTTAAAAAAACACAACGACGGAATACAAAGTTCCTCACCATTATCAAACGTTGGATCAATTAGACGAAATCATAGAAATAAATTGAAATGGTTAACTTCGATCATGCTAAATGATTACTAAATTGGCACACAAACGAAAGTTCGACAATTTATTTTTTTTCATAACATTTACCCAATTTGAAAAAAAACATCCGAATGACCTTTACCTTTTGGTCCACTCTACAATAAGTGCACAAAGTATTAGATAATTAGAACCTAAATGACGTCATTCGATTTGACCTCAAATGACCGCGTTTTTTTAAATGTTTGTTATTTGAAGTGCATTAACTTCGATATTTCAAGCCAGGCGGCTTGATGAAAATTCGTATAAAAAAGACTTAGTTATAGCCAGGATACAGTTATTACAAAAGGGTTGAGATATTAGACAATAAGCAAATTAGACGGAGGTAATTAAAAGGAAATTAGACGATTTAGCAAAACTGTAATTGTGAGAAAATAGACGAAGGTGAGAGATTAAAATTGTTTGCGGACAACTTGCGAGAGAAAAATAAAGTTGTTTGCAGACAACAGTTAATTTTTGGTGGCCAAAAATTTTACAAGTCAATCATGCACAATTTTTTCTATTCAAAACTCTCCTGTAATATTCGGATTTGACATTTTATGTTCATTTAAACTAATTTTTTTGATAGGTATTGACATTTCCAGTTCTTTTTGTGTTCGTGAAATTTCACCCATAAGAAAAAATTTTATTGGCCCTTTCCTTTTCATAGCTTTTTCGTCTAAAATGCCAGATCTGTACAAAATACATTTCGTCTAACTTCGTTTTTGTAGCATCAGTCTAATTTGCTTATCGTCTAATTTTCTTGGCCCCATTATAAATCACTTGCACTGAACTTTCATATTGGTTTATTAGGCGTTAATCCTTGGTTTTGACCTTGGATAATGGGTAGGAGCTTTGAACTCAGGTGAAATTTACTTTTTTTTTCTGTTTTCCACGCAAAATTAGGTGCCACAAATAATCATCCGATGGGCCGAGTGATAGATTTTATTAAAGCCCTTCTAGTCTGCTTTCCAACTACATAAAAAAAAACAATTTTCAAAACCTCTTCTTAATCTGCATGTATCAAATACAGGTACATTCACTTTGAAAAAAATGTTCTTTTTTGGCAATGACAAAAATGGTCAGAACATTTTCTGCTACTTATAGAGCGAATGACCCTTCATATTTTTCAAAGTGTTACTTTTCAGACAACCTTGCAAGAATTTATATTAATTTCTACTCCTTATACTCGTTTATAATCTGAGAACTAATTGTATGACTTTCTACACCCTAAAAGTCCTATTAGTCCAATAAGAGTCTCAATGATTGATAATTTTGTCGCCTGCCTGTATAAACGAACACTTTTTTACACTTCAATTTGTTGAAATACGAGTAGACCAATAAACACTATATAAATATTATTTGATAGATCACAGTTACTTGAAAATGACACGAGTTACTACAACCCGTAAATTCAACTTCATCAGAGAAGCAAAAAGGTTCAGTTATTCAAGGGCTTTTTATAAGACAAATAGTGAGTTGTACAAAACAGCTAATTAATTAGTTGGCATTATTACACTCAATTTGATCGACATCTAAAATCAATATGTTTATATCAGCATAAAAATATTCACCTGAACTCAGAAACTGCTAGCAGCAACATACCACCAATTAAGTCAGCTAATAAATGGTTCGCAATAATAAACACACTTTATTTGATTAAGGTATTAATGAAAGGGTTAAAACTTTAAGAAAAGGACACGAAAGCTACTATGACAAACTACTAGCAACAAAATGAGGAGAATAAAAGAAACGAAAACTATCAAAATGTCAAAAAGTTACGATGCAAGACTTGAGTTTCTCAACTGCTAAAGAAAGTCTTTTTTTTCAGAAACCATGTCCAACTACCAGCAACAGACTTTTTACATCTTTCCTTGGGATCCCTTCTTCCCTATGAGCGATTTGTGAATGTGAGGAATGACACCTCCGCCCGCGATGGTCGCCTTAATGAGCGAATCCAGTTCTTCGTCTCCGCGAATGGCCAGCTGCAGATGTCTGGGTGTAATACGTTTCACTCGCAGATCTTTGCTAGCGTTTCCTGCCAGTTCCAAAACCTCCGCTGTCAGATATTCCAGGATAGCAGCGCTGAACACAAACTCAAAATAACTCAAAATGAATGATGTTGCTCAATATTTCGCTGAAATGTATTTTCCGTGAAGCATAAAAATATATATTTTGGCAGATGTACACAGTAAAATTAACTTAGTATGTTACTCTCAGGTGCTTAACTATCGGGACCAATAAACCCCCCGATACATGCTTTCATTTAAAAATTGAATGTCATCCCCTATTTGAAAATTTCATAAAATATTACCTGGACAACATCCGACAATTGTTATATCAGCCGAAAACAAATCCACATACAAACAAGGATATTCAGTTGCTGTAAAAGTAGCACGAAGTTCTCACCACATTTATAAAAAACAACATGATTTTTTTTCGAATTGGTGTTGTTTTTTTTTTGCGTGAGGCTGTTATTGTTCGAGGTGCGATAACACAACTACACGTGCACTTACGAAGTTCGTAAATTGAAATAATCGACATTTGTCTTAAAAAATGACAAAAACAGATTTTTTTAAAAAAATTTTGAACAAATTTATTAAAAACCTTGATGGCTGCCAAGAAGGCACAAAAAGAACCTTAACTAGTTTTCATTTTAGTAAAATTAAGTTTTTTTAGCATAAATACCTATAAAAAGTGAAAGCATTCATAAAAAGAACGTTACTCAATTGCTTGAAATTCAAATTATAAACTAGTTTTTCTCGACACTGGGCAACTTTTTGAAAATTAAAAAAAAACCACTGGAGCCACGACCGAAGGTGTTTTATTTTGATATACCACTCAACCCATTCTGATTGTTTGTGGTACCTGATTTTCCGTGGAAATAAAAAAAAAACTAGAACACCCGAATACAAAGTTCCTCCCCATTTTCAATGGTCGGAACAAAAACAACTATTAAAAATGTTTTGCTGGGACCGGCACGGGAGATAAAACCACTCGTCGAAACCTATCAATCAAAAGGGTAATTGCGCATAAATGATGGATTCGGAAGGCCTTTTATGTTCATAAACTCAATAATTCAATCATAAATTTCGACAATAACCATATGTGACTAATTCGCCTCGCGTTTCAAGAGTCTAAGGTGGGCTTTACAGTTTCTTTGAGTTTTCACGGCTGCTGTAGCAGTTAAAGCTTTCGTAGCACGATTCATTTTCTTCAGATTTTCAGATCAAATATTTGAAAAACATGCTGTGAAGGGCAAGTTTGAATCTTTATTCTTCATTATTCTACGATCTTTACCATAGATGGTTGATACATTTATGACAAGTACAAGTAATTATTATAACTATACTGATTACATATTTTAATAAGCCAAGAATGTCGTACGCAATGTCTGTGATGACGAGAGCGATTTTAGTTTACTCGGTCTGACACACTATATTCGTGAACTTTTTCAGGTCCTTTTCAGAGACCGTTTTTCTGACCAAAATTCATATTTCGCTCTCATTTTGGTTTGAATTGAAAACATCTGCAAAATCAAATATTCGACGTTTACTTAGAAATAAATCATGAGGTTCTCTGTCGTATTCTTTTTGAAGTGCAAGTAAATGAACTGCAACAATTTAAGTTTCACGTGAGCGCCAATTTCATTCATCTCGTCCAAGAACTTCAACAGCTGAAGTGTTGTAGTTCGTCAGCACAGAAGTCAAATAAATAACATGAAGTTGAGAAAATCAGCGCCAAAAACTTCAAAAACTAACTGATTAGAGCGTTTGAGAGCGCGGTGGGAAGGCTGATTGGATTGTAGATCATGACAGACTGTTTGTCTTTACAATTTAATAGAATGATTTGTTTCAAAGTACCGATAGTCTAGGGACTAGGATTAAATATTTGTTTACTCGAAGTTCATGTTTCACTTGGCGCATTTGATGATTAATTTGCTTCCTACTTTGATATAGCTACTATAATAGTTGCATGATAGAAAGTGTACTATAATAGTTGCATGATAGATTCTTCTTTATTGGAATTCCGTGGTCTTTTGAGGTCTGATGTTAAGTTCATCTTGAGAAACTGGGATCTCTTTGCAGTCGTGAATACGTTTATTCTTCCGCCTTTGTCCTTAGTTCAAGAATATCCTGGTATTGCGAGTCCTTCGATCTGGCATTAGACGGGGTGTTCGGAGAAACCAGTTTCGAATAACTTTGGCATTTGTTTGAATAAGTGATGTGATTTTAATTAGTAATCCAAAATTATAATCAACAATCTCAGACGTCTTCTGCAACTGTACTTAATTTAACAAGTTTTTCTTCATTTTTCTTGATTTTTTTTTTCAGTTTTCCTTGACGTTTTCAGTTTGGCTGGGGTATTTTTAACTACTTGACCGCTTTTACCGTTGGAAAAGCAATTAATGCATATCAGGAGAGCGTTTTCATCAGGTTAAATGATCCCTTTGAGTGAAACTGTTCTGACAACAGTGCAAAGAATCAATTTCAAGGTTCATAGAGCAGTTGCGGGTCTTTTTCATTTTGCTCTTTCTCAGTATTTTTCCGAACCCCATATTCACATCACTTGAGACACACCACATAAAAACAGTATTGCAAGCTGCAAGCTATCAGACAGGAAAGGAAATGCCAAAAATAAAATTGAAAAAAAAAACAACCAACTAGAAAACTTCGAATCATTGTCTGAAATGATGCCGTTTTTGCGGAAAAACAAGCTACATCGCGTTTACGGAAAATTGAAAAATATTATTGAAAGGGCAACTGAGCCAACAAAACTTCGGTTATTTTCAGTAGAACCCAACAGAAAACTTTGGTCATGAAAAACTTTGAATTAATACTTTCCGTTATAATACTTTTGGCATTTTGTGCGATTCGGAGGGGATCATAAAAATTGTGTTTCCCATGGATCGACCAAAAGTTAGGGAACTACGCCGATAAATAATAAACCAAAATAATTTCGATCGAAAAAGTTTTAATGCGAAACAAAAATATGAAAGACAAAAACGTTGTTTACGGGAGAAAAAGTCTAGCACAAATTTGTAATACTCTTGCTAATCGCTAAGTTAATAAAACCCACAAGGCTAAGCAACCTGTAAACGGCGGCAGTGGCTCCGACGCGTCCCTTTGATGTTGTTCTACTTTTTAGAAATCTATGGATACGGCCGACAGGAAACTGCAAACCAGCTCTTTGGGATCGAGAAATAGCAGATCTCTTCGCTTTGCCAGAATCTTTTCCTGATTTGCCTCCAGCCATTATAAGACTGAAAATTTGAACTAATAACTGAAGAAAAGCTGGTTCAAACTGTTTGTCCTAACAACTTCCTGGAACAAGATGGCTGAGAATCTATTTCGAATAGATAACAACCTAGAGACAAAGCATAGCTTTAAAATATTTACAATACAGTGAAAAAAAGACAAGCCGACAGAAATGTTGTTTAGGTTTTCTACATTTTATATTGTAGACAACTCATATCACGTCAACTTGGCGAATGTAGACAGTCTTCCACAAAACTATGAACTAAGGAGATGATCCGTGTGCCCCATTAGGCCAATTCCCAATTATTATTATTATTTATTATTATTTGAAAGCTAAATATAATAAAATAATATTTACACTTTCTTTTTGTTTTAACCCACTAAATTACTTCAAATAGTCTGGCGGGACCACATTTATAAATGAGTTTTTGAATACGACTCACGGCGCGCCCAAACTTCTAGAGGAGGACCGCCTAAAAATAAATAGTACATTGAGGTTTTTTACATCAAGTGGCTCAAATTTTTTTCTTTATTTATGGTGGACTTATTTAGGTAAACACAAAACTAGTGCTCCAGAACGCAAAACAGCGAACTATCATTGTGCTTATGAACTAATTTGAGTTATTCGAGCTTCTGAACTCTAATTGCTACAAATGAAACGAGTTCAGAGTTTGAATTAGTTCAGTCCCCTTGTGTCCAGTCAAAATTCCTTTTTTTACCCTAGGTGTACAAGCAAAGAATGCTTATAACCTTCAGGACTTTTACCAAACGGCAATGCGGGGCTCAATTTCTTGAAATCGCTTACTAAACTCATAAACCTTATTGGAGATATTGCAAAAAAAATTATGCAAAAAAAAATATTTCAAAAAAAAATATTGCAAAAAATGGCCCAAGGAATTGAAGAAGAAGAACCAATAGGGATACTAAAAAAACATCAGTTTTAAGAATTAAGAACGAGCTGGTATTAAAACTTTACAAACAATTTCACAGATAGTCCAAACATACAGCGTATATACAGAGTATATACAGATTCTCTTTCAAACAATGTGTGAAAAATTAAACTAAATTAAAACATATAGAACTAGCAAAAACGGAAATCACGCCACGTATTTGTATTTGTACATATCGGATTGTTTCTCAATTCACTCACGTAAAAATCTTTCAATTTTTTCTTGAATCCTGTTCTCGATTTTTCTAAATTGCGCAAAATTATGGGCAGTGAATTCCATTTTTTAGAAGTCAAATGAAAAAATGATTTTTGTAGAGAAGCTGTAACATTCGCCCGGAAGATACATATCGACGGATAACAAAACTAAGTCTTAAGACGACTGGCTAACGTCTAAACAGAGCTTTGCATGCTTTTCACCGTCTCTACCAAGCCAGTACTTTTCGGTGGTCTTTCTAACATCGGGTCGACAAAAACGTTACTGCTCTCCGGCTTCGACCAGAACGCTCAAATTAACTTAATTACATGCAACTAGTGAGCTCATGGCTGGGTCTCAGTATCCCCAGACCACGAGGTCACTCCTAAAAACAGGGTTACTACTTATTATATTACTATTGTTTTTGTTCAGTAGATAAAAATCATCATCTCCATCGAAGATGGATCAACCCTCTCCCCCAACTCCTAGCACCTCATCCTTGTCAAAACTAATCCAAATATCAGTTAAATTCAAGTCAGGACATGACAGGATGCTAGAAGTTCATATAACAGGCTAAAAGTTTCAGTTCCGAAACCCTTCCGGATTTGTGAATCCACTGAATCAAGCTCCTTAAGTGTGACATTCGACCAGAACGTCAAAAATGCAATCTCTGCAGAATTCGGAATTTTAGCAGTAAGCCTTCCGGATTGGTGGTTTTTAAGAACTAAGGGCGTTATTGGAACGTTTAGCCAAACGGTGAAGGCTGGAATATTCTAGTATTTTAAAATTTCAAAAATTCGAATGATGACGTCACATTTCTGAGAAGTGCTGAAACGGCCATTTTAACAAGAAACGAGAGAAAAAACACAAGAACATTAGTTGCGCTGACGAGAACAACTTTATCGAAATTGAAGAAGTCGAAATTGAAGAAAAACAGCAGCAGATTGCAGAGAACGTTCCGAGTTGCAACTATTGTGCTGCTACAATAGTTGCAAGGCCGTTGCGAACAACGGTGAAGGGTAAGAAACCAGCCTTCCGTGTTGTCGTGAAATCGAACTTAAGGAGCTTGATTCACCGGATTCAAGAATCCGGAAGGGTCTCGGGACGGAAAACTTTTATTGACTCATATGAACTTTTAGCATCCTGTCATGTCCTGACTTGAATTTAATTGATATTTGGATTAGTTTTGACAAGGATGAGGTGCTAAGAGTTGGGGGGGAAAGGGTTGATCCATCTTCGATGGAGATGATGATTTTTATCTACTGAACAAAAACAATAGTAATATAATAAGTGGTAGCCCTGTTTTTAGGAGTGACCTCGTGGTCTGGGGATACTGAGACCCAGCCAGGAGCTCACTATTTTTGCATGTAATTCAGTTAATTTGAGCGTTCTGGTCGAAGCCGGAGAACAGTAACGTTTTTGTCGACCCGATGTTAGAAAAGACCACCGAAAAGTACTGGCTTGATAGAGACGGTGAAAAACATGCAAAGCTCTGTTTAGACGCTAGCCAGTCTTCTTAAGACTTAGTTTTGTTATCCGTCGATATGTATCTTCCGGGCGAATGTTACATGTATGTTTTTATGGCGCTCCTGGGTGTTATTCTTTTATAACATCATGACCGGCGGAACCGTTAACGAGCACTCCGCGCCGAGCGGATGCTCACATTAACGCCCTTAATAGGCCTAAACCGCCGGGGCGGAAGGGTAGTTCGGAACGCGGAGGCCTTCCGGATTGCCGTGAATAGTTTTTTAACCTAGTTAAGACCGAAAATTCACGAACCAGGAAGGGTGGGGGGATCGGCCGTCTCCTCGTCCCCTGAGTGGTTGGTGACCAAAAACACTTAAAGATATAAATAAAACCAAACAAAAAGTAGTATAGTACCCAAGAAAAACAAAAAACATAAAAAATAAACGAAAAAACCAAAAACAGTAAAAAAAAGTAAAAAATCTGTAGAAATCATCCCCCCAGACAAGATGTGATTCAACCCCCCCGTTTGTTGTTGATAGATATATTGTTGTTACAGGCATTTATATCAGTCAGGATCGTTACGATCAATTTTGTAGCCCGTTTGTGAGGCTTGTACTGTAGGGTTATTTGAGCATTTAAGCACGTTAATGATAAATTGCGCTCAATCCGGAAGGGTCAGCTGATTTGCGCTCATTTCGGAAGGATCCTGGGTGAAGACCGATCCGGCAAGCAGTACAAGGAGCAACAAGAAGGGGCTCAAAGACAACAACAATCGACTGTTGGGTATCGTTAACAAGTTTTGTATCCCTTTTGGTACAAAAAGTAAGATAGTAATCTGTGGGGGGCTCGACAGTGCTGCACTGTAGTGACCCTTCACCGAACTGCGAATATCCGAGTTAAGCACCTTAATTCGGATAATAAACAAACCCGGAGGGGTATAGTATTACTAATATTATTACTTATATAGCCTATATTAATAGTCTTATATCGTTTTTCAGTGAAAAACAACGAAAACAGACCGGTTTTTAGGGTCAAAATAGCGATATTTTGATCCCCCCACAAGTCGCGATTTTTGAGACATCGATATTTTTTGATACGGAAAAAAGCGCTAAGTTAGTGTGTTACATCGTAACTGCACTACTGTAATAAGTAGAACCGGTTAACTTTAGTTCGGAAGTGGTTGGAACTAGTTTGGTACCAAAAACCAAATTTTCCCATTTTTTGATAGTAAGAAACACTATAAAATCAGAAAATTTTTTGAAATCTTTGAGTTAGGACAGTAAAATAGTTGTTCGGACAACGTCCACTAGTGAATCTACGAGTTTTAAAACCCGCTACCCGAAAGCCTTCCGGGTTGCAGAGAAATCGAACATAACGTGTTTGATTTGGTGGATTCATCAATCCGGAGGGGTCCAGGTGGCATAGTTTTTCGCAAATTTTTTCTACAAAAGCGTTTTAGATCGGGTCTTTTGCATTGAACTAGAAGAGTATAGGCCTTCTGAGCTCGGATCAATAATTTTTAGGTCGAAAGGAACAGAATTGCGGAAAAAGTTAGGTGGAACCTATAAGTGAGAAATTTTTTGAGTTTACAAAAAAGACGTTTTGGTTAATAACTTTGGAACTACAGGGCATATCGAGTTGATCTTGGTACCAATAGATCAGAGATTAGCTGAGCTTACTGACAGGACCGGGAAATTTCCCGGAAAAACGAGCGAGAAAATTTTTTGAGATTGTTTTTAGCAAATTACACAAATCCGGAGGGGTACACCCTTCACGTTTTATAAATTTTTCTGAAAAACCCTTATACCCCTACCAAAAGTTGATAGCGATTGAACTAAGTAACTTAGGACAGTTCTAGACAAAAAGGGAGGGTTGAAGGCACAAGACAACCATAATAGAGTCGAAATTAGGCAAGTGATAAGACCCTTCACCGTTAGTGTGAATTGTCAAATAAGTGCCTTAACTTCAATCCGGAGGGGTATAGGAAAGGACCCTATACCCTTCCCAGTTAATTCAAACAGCATAAAAGCATCGGAGAACGTATCCGGAGGGGTATAAGCTGAAATTAAGAAAACTACGAAAAGCTACTTTGACAGAGCTAAGGGCTCCGAATCCGGAGGGGTCTACTTTCCACAAAACCGGAGGGGTCCGAATCCGGAGGGGTCTTATAGTTGCTAATTCGGAGGGGTCCAAATCCGGAGGGGTCTACTATTAACTAACTCGGAGGGGTCCCAATCCGGAGGGGTCTATATTCTGACAGTCCGGAAGGGTCCTATTTGTGCCAATCCGGAGGGGTATTATTTTATTAAGGACTTAGGTGAACGAAAGAAAGACTAAAAAGCGAGAGGTATTAGGTTATTAATACACAGGCTAGGTATCAGTGACTGCACTGGTAACT